CTCTCTCTCTCTCTCTCTCTCTCTTCGCGGCTGGCCTCATGGTACTGCGCCCTCCATAGGATGAGCAAAATCGAATGAATCTGGCACTATAGCGTGGGAATATACACTGCCATACTTTTTTTCGTTTTTTTTTTTCCCGTTTTTTTCGTTCTTTCACTCCGACGTTCGGGATGCCTGCGCCCGGTAGTCCGAGCCTCGGCATGGATCGGTGTACCGGTCGGGCGAGGCTCGGACTCGATAGCTGGGCCAGGTACTGATGGTTTAATACCCCGGCGCCAGGTACGTCGGACTGTCTGGTTATGCCTTCCACCCTCGGCATAACTCCACAGGCGTCAAGCTCCCCCTAGGTGACAGAGTAGAAACTCTAGCACCGGCTTGTGTCGTCCCAGCATTGTCCCTTCAACCTACTTACCTTAACAAGCAACCCTTCCCCTGTTGAGAGCCCCCTTACTACCTCCCATCCTCCAGTTCTAGCTTCCCCCCTTTCCCTCTTTTTTTTGAAATACCAGGGCCATTACCTGGCTTCGGCTAAGAGAACAATCTGAGAACTATTAAAGGACTTCAGGAAAATTTAGGAAAGACATGGATAACTGCTGACCTTTTTTTTTTTTTTTTTTTTGAACAACCCGATTGAATGCTAGGTGCGCTAATAAGAGCAGACACATCTAGCACCGTCGGGTAGGCTCCATCTATTGGTGGGAAGCAGCACCTGCTGGAAATCGGGTCCAGCGTCCCTTGGATACATCTTTTGGGGACAACGATCGTTGGGCATATGACCATCATAGTTCGCTAGGCTACTCAAGCAGCAGTTACTAAGTTTTTTTTTTTTTTTGAGGGAATTCAAGAAAATTTAAAGAAGAGGTTGGAAAACTATGAATGACTTGTTTTCAAATGCTCAGAACCCCTAGACTCCCAAACAAAACTCTCTAAGACTGTCCAACACTGTCTTATCCCCTATCGAGCTCTCCCAGGCCTCACACCCCTACCCGGCTAGGTTACAGAGCAACATGACTCGCCCCAGCTTCGGCGAGCGTCGTGCCAACAGCAACCCTTGGTTATCCCTTGGAATGCCCACCCCAAAGCATCCCCAGATCTCTCTACCAGGACTCACGCTCCTGCAAGCACCGGCCAGCATCGTTCTGGCAACGAACAACCATAGATCCATAAATGTACCAGTATCAAACAGCCTGAAGCGGGTTGCTAGAAGTCCCCAGAATCCTAAAGCATTCTCAAAACCACCCATAAACAACTGAAACCAACGGACTTACTTCTGAAGAATGGGGACCAATTTGGGATAACTCGGGAACCGATATATCCAAAACCACGTTACCCTTGTGTTATTCAACAGACCACTCTACAGCTGCCTCAACCCACCTATTCTAAATACTAAGCTCAACCAGGTCTCACACCCCCAACCGCTGGGTTACAGGGCGGCGCGACCCTCCCCAGCTCCGCCCAACATCGTCCTAGTAACAGCTCACAGTTAGCCATTGAACTTTTTTTTTTTTTTTTTTTTTTTTTTTTTAACTGGGCCCAGTGCCTAAGGCTGATATTTCCAATAATAAGATTGAGGCCGGGGTCCTCACAGTCTGCCCGGAATGAACATACGGAAACCGCAAATGATGAGCATGATGGTACTAATGACACTGATTAATGATGCTAATGAGAATGATGATTCAAAAATATGAAAAAATAAAGAAAATATGCTATATCAGCTATTCTGGCCTCCTAATCCTAGAATAACTCCCAACCCTCCCTATACCCTGACACTGTACCTCAAAGACAAAACCACCTAACTAATTGTCAACCATAGCTGATCTCTTCTCGCTTCATTGCAGCCCCGCCCGGTTCACCAGTAGACTGCCTTCCACCCTCAGCAAACCCCTGATCTCTCTACAAGGCCTCACGCTCCTGCTATTAGCAGGTTACTGGGCAACGCCCCAGCTCCGGCCAGCGTCGTTCTGGCATTGGCAGAGACCAACTCAGTTGAAATCAGTCCAGGTTCAATCATCTCTGAAGTCCTATATCCGAATGTGGAAGAATGCTAGATGCTGCCAAAACTTCAGAGCACCAAAAAGCTTAGTATAACAATAATCAGATGATGAAACTAATGGTGTGATGATGATGATGATGATGATGATGATGTTGATGATGATGATGATGTTATATTAGCTATTCTGGGCTCCTAATCCTAGTACAACTCCTAGCCCTCCCTGTACCAGGACACTATACTACAGAGACAGAAACAACCTGACCAACATCAACCATAGCTGATCTCTTCTCGCCTCCTTTCAGCMCCCCCYGGTTCACCACTRGAATGCCTTCCACCCTCAGCAAACCCCAGATCTCTCTGCAAGGCCTCACACTCCTGCTATTTACAGGTTACAGGGCAACGCCCCAGCTCCGGCCAGCGTCGTTCTGGCATCGGCAAACCAAGGGCACAGAATTGAGCAACTCAGAAGATATCAGTCCAGGTTCAACCATCTCTGAAGACCTATATCCCGGATGTGGAAGAATACGAGATGCAGCCAGAATTTCAGAGCACAAAAAAACTTAATATAACAATAATCAGATGATGATAGCCAATAATTTCAACACACCTCCATTCTCTCCATTACCCTATCTATCCCTTTACTCTAATCTGCCCCCGCTGGGATTTGATGCCCAGCCCCAGAAAAGAGTATTCCTCACAATCTGCCCATACCCCCTCCAGGATTCCACCTCCCTCCCAATGAAACCCCTGTGGGGCAGAGCTCTCCCCTACCCCCTCACAAAATTGTCATTCCTCTTGGATTTTGTTGGAGGCGAAGGATAGTGCCCTGAAGATAATGATAACGGGAATGATGGTGATGATACGAAAAGCGACACGAAGCCTTGAAGAGCAAACTCTACTGATAACAAAAAGTTATCGATAAAGATAATGGTGATGATGATGATGATGCTGATGATAAAGATGATGATGATGATGATGATGATGATGATGATACTCATGATAATGATTATGATGATAACAATAATGTTGCTGCTGCTACTGCTGCTGCTGCTGCTGATGATGATGATAATGATGATGATGATGATGATGATGATGATGGTGATGGCGATGGTGATGATAATGAAGGTGAATATGATGATGACGCACCAATGAAGATGCTCATATTGATGATGATGATGATGATGATGATGATGATGATGATGATGGTCAGTTATGCTGACGATTATGATGAAGATAATGATGATGATGATGATGCTGATGATGATACTAATGATGATGATACTGATGATGATGATGATGATTATGATGATGATGATGAAGTTGATGAAGTTGATGATGAAGATGATGATGACTCACCAATAAAGATGCACATAATGATGATGGTGATGTCAGAAATAATGTTACTGCTGCTGATAATGCTGGTACTGATGCTGCTGCTCCTCTCTGTCCTTTTGTTGCCCAGCACTCCCGCTGCCACGTTCTTTCCACCTCGATGCTGAACATGAAGATGATGGTGATGATGATGCCGTTGATGATAGCGACGATGATGACTAATCTCGTATATAGGCCATGCGTGTCATCCGATATAAATCTCCCAACGCTTGTCGCCCCTCCTTAGCGCTTGTCCAACGCTAGAAATCGGATCCCGCCCATGAGCGGAAATGCTTTCGCCTCTACGAACCTGTCGTAGCGGTGCTTGGCATCCGACATCTAATCAAGATGTCAATTCTCACTCCTCCACCCTCCTTCCTTCCCCTCGCCACGTGGAGACCGTTGAGAGAGGGCACTGCCACGTGGAGCATCACCAGCTAAAACACCAATGTTCGCGCTTCTCTCTCGCGCCTAATGGCGTGCACGCTTCTACACTGATGCCCTGGCTGCGTGTGCTAACCACTCATAGCGCTCTTCATCCCCCCGTCGTCCTCATCGCCCAACACACTCAAATTTCATGGCGCGCCCTAGAACTTCGATATCTCATGATCCGCTGGACCGTTTGGTCTGAAATTTGGACCACCTCAGCTCCTCAGCGTAGACCACCGGTGGTCCAATTTTCAGCTCAGGGCGCGCGCGCAATCGTCGAGCGCGCGCGCGCTATTTTCCTTGCTGCGTGCAGTTATCCGGCACGCGCGACTCCACTCCGTGGCAGTGACCTTGATTGATGATTGATGCTGCCGGGGCGCAGCGCTCCCGGTAGCGCTGCGCCCCCCATGCACTGTAATTAGCCGCGAGGGTGTCCACCCTCGACAATTCCCTAGATCTTTGCACCAGGCCTCTAACTCCCACATAACTCAGGTTACAAGGTAGTGTTGTCGGGGCAAGGGTATTTGCTGGGGTTTTCAAACGTCGGACACAGTTCGCTATATTTTTGTTGAATTGAAGGACTTGATGAGACTGACGTTTGTCGAAAGTTCGTTCAAACTAACCTATGACCGAGAGACTGAAACTTTTCTTAACGTTAGCTCGGACGCTCACGCCATCCGAAAAGTAATGACGGTAGTCAGCAGTTTCTAGCAAGCCGCAGAAAAGCGTGGACATGGGATCGCCAAAGCTAGACCTATTCTACCTAAAATAATGTCAGCCACACGATTCAGGGCCTAAGTAGGCTAAAAACTTAGTAAAAAGAGGAACGCGCCGGGTATGGGGCCACGGCGCGGGGGGAATAGGAGGCCTCTTTTTTTTTTTTTTTTTTTTTTTTAAACGCCCCCCGGTGATAGTGGTGCTGATAAGAGCAGCCACCGCTACCACACGAGAAGAGGCTCCATCTATTGGTGGGGAGCATCACCTGCTGGAAAGCGGGTCCAGCGTCCCCTATACAAAATATGATCAGGAAAACAATGTGGAAAACAATGTGGAGGACCCTTGCCAGCATTGATTACCCTGGAATCCAGGGGATTAACTGAGCAAGGCATTGGAAAGTTGATAACTTTAGAAAAGACCTGCCACTGAGAAGGTTGTATCAGAGTATAATTTGAGATGAAAGCTAACTTCCGAAGATCGTCTGCACAAGATGTTGAGCTCCTGGGAGTAAACTTCTTCGCCCTATACCAGGCGCCGAATTTTTGCTGCTGAAGGACTAGTTTCCCCCTGAAAGCCTGATGATCCACTTCACCCTGTAGCAGGCCGTTTTCCGCTACTTGATGATGGAAAGTAGTATTCTTACACTGTATTATCAGCTATTCTGGTCCCCAAGACATATATTAACAAGCCTTCTTTAAACCAGGACTTAATCATCCTTAGTCCGTCCCCCCTTGGCACGTGATCCCCTCTAACTCCCAGACTCGGGGACGTGTAACGCCTTGCCTATGTGACCATCCTAAAAAAGGCCCCAACCTGTTATCCTATGCCCCCCCAATCCTTGTGAGACATTCATTCCTACACCGCTCCCTGATTTTTCCTACACCTCTCCCTGAACTCCTATCACCTCTGTCACCATGTTTGCAGTCCATTGTTATCTTCTGTCGCTGTTGTTGCCCTGATACATATTCACCGTTGCACATGGGGACGAAGATGACCTCCTGGCCGGCTAAGGGGTGTAAGGAGGGGGAGGGCGGGAGAAGACGACAGAGGGCGGGGGGGTCACCAGGAAGAGTCACGGGGGGGGGCAGGGGGGTGGGATGAGGAGGAAGTTGGTGGGCCGGAAGGCTATTACAAAGGTGTCAATTGGTTCAAAGCACCACTGGTTTTCAGTGGAAAGCCAGGGTTGCCACTGAAGTGTATTGTTTTGATTGAGTGAGCATAGTCTGTTGTTGTGGTCGAGCCACGACACAGAGAAGTTCTGTATTAGTTGTCTCCGTTTTGACTCGTCCTGTTCTTGCGCAAGTCTGTCACGCATGTGTTTCCAAGCTTCTTGGGTCATCACAGTTATTGTCTCTGCTATGGACTCCTTGGCTTGAATGAGGTCGAATGACTGTTGTTGCCTTTCATGTGAGCATCTCATTCTCCAGGCTGCCATCAATACAGCGAGGCGTATAAAGTGAAAGAGATTTAGCATGAACGGCGACCATTGGGCTGTGGTTTCATGAGGGAGGGTGCCAAAGAAGAGCGCCTGCATCGACCATGGGAAGCGGTGAGCTGTGAAGTAGTGCCAGGCTGCATCCCACCACTGCCATAGTCGTGACACCATGGGGCAGTCCAGGAGGCAATGCTCCAGAGTTGCCCGTTTTCTGGGAACTGCGTCTTCACAAATGGCCTAATTTCTTTTTATTGTTTTCGTAGGCTGCAGGATTGATTGTGTGCCAAGAGCTGAGAGCTGGCGGCACAGTCTTCACGGTTGGGTGGCCGCTCAGGTTGTCGACAGGTGGCTGGCTACGGAAGAGAGGACAGGCAGGCAAAGCCTGCCTAACCATATGTGGGCGGTCCACGGGTAAAAGCGCTTCATATAGGAGGGCTGCTCCTGCTATACAACGAGCAGGAGCTCGCCCAGTAGGTATCATGTCGAACTTCCACCTCACAGATTCAAGGATCAAAACTGACAGATCCTACTGGGCTGGCTCCTTTTGGAGCTGCCCTTTCCAGTCTGAAGTGACGTGGTCGATTTCGACCGCTTGATCACGGAGATCACGCGGTCGAGACTGGCCGTGCGTGGATCAGCATGACGCCTGCGCAAGGATGGCACGCATAAATCGAGGAATGGTTCAATCCCAGTAGGGTTCGATACTTCAACAGTCGCAGGGTGTCCACGATGACTAGTGATGTGGCCGTTGGCTTATGCCAACGACATTTAGAAAAAAAAAAAAAAAACCACCACTTCCTAAAGCGCCAGTTGGCGCGACCACGACTAATGGGGACTTGAAATCCTATAAGTTGTGG